GAAGGAATACCATTGAATGCATTTATCATTTATCCAGGTACTTTAGAGCTCCACTTATATTTCTTTATTTTTTAAGTAAGGGACAGTGTTGTTGAGAAGTACAAGTCAGGGTTAGGTTATAAAAAAAATATCCAAATCTTTGATGATCCCCAGGAGCATCATCAAATCTATCATACCCAAATAGAAAGAACATGGCACAACAGCAAACCTGCCAAGAGATGGCCGCCCACCAAAACTCATGGACCAGGAAAGGAGGGCAGCACAGAGACCTAAGGTAACCCTGGAGGAGCTGGAGAGTTCCACAGCAGAGACTGGAGTATCTGTACATAGGACGACAATAAGCTGTACGCTCCATAGAGTTGGGCTTTATGGCAGAGTGGCCAGAAGAAAGCCATTACGTTCAGCAAAAAACAAAATGGCACGTTTTGAGATTGCGAAAAGGCATGTGGGAGACTCCCAAAATGTATGGAGGAAGGTACTCTGGTCTGATGAGACTAAAATTGAACTTTTCAGCCATCAAAGGAAACTAGTCAGAGTTGAGGGAAAGATGGATGGTGCTAAATATAGGGATATTCTTGAGCAAAACCTGTACCACTCTGTGCGGGAGTTGAGGCTAGGACGGAGGTTCACCTTCAAGCAGGACAATAACCCCAAACACACTGCTAAAGCAACACTTGAGTGGTTTAAGGGGAAACATGTAAATGTGTTGGAATGGCCTAGTGAAAGCCCAGACCTCAATCCAATAGAAAATCTGTGCTCAGACTTAAAGATTGTTGTTCACAAGCGCAAACCATCCAACTTTAAGGAGCTGGAGCAGTTTTGCAAGGATGAATGTGCAAAAATCCTAGTGGTAAAATGTGGCACGCTCATGGAGACTTATCCAATGCGACTTGGAGCTGTGATTGCCGCAAAAGGTGGCTCTACAAAGTATTGACTTTTTTGGGGGGTGAATAGTTATGCACATTTACTTTTTCTGTTATTTTGTCCTATTTGTTGTTTGCTTCACAATAAAAAAAAAAACACACACATCTTCAAAGTTGTGGGCATGTTCTGTAAATTAAATTATGCAAATCCTCAAACAATCCATGTTAATTCCAGGTTGTGAGGCAACAAAACATGAAAAATGCCAACGGGGTGAATACTTTTGCAAGGCACTGTATTAACATGAACATCTTACTTAAAATACTATATTACTTTAGAACTATTCCCTTGTCAATTCTGAAGACTTTCTTTAAAACAGTTCAACCTGCTCTAATTAAGTTTATATAGGGAAATAAGATGAGCAGAATTACATTTTCAGCATTGCAAAATTTCAAGTCTCGTGGAGGTTTAGGGATACCTGATTTTTAAAAAATATTACCAGGCAACTAATGCCGCTACAGCACTTAAATTTGGCTTACAAGGTCAGATTCCACACTGGCTTGAGATGGAAAATTATAGGATGTCACCATACTCTATCAAAGAAGTACTGTGGCTTCTGATGTGTGGGCGACCAGGGATAGCAGAGATGTTTACCACTACTAAGATTACCATCAAAGCTTGGTGGTCGCAAGTAATACCGCTGTCTATATTAAAACTAGATTTTCCTGATTTAAATTTGGGTAATTTGCACACTAAATCAATTCAAAATTTAAATTACTTTTACTTAGGTAATTCTTTGATTTATTTTATGAAACTTCAAGATAAATTCTGCCTAGAAGATAATATGCAATTAGAACACAAATTAATTATTAATAAAATATATATTTTATATTCAAAATTTTGATCAAAATTATACAGAAAATGCATTTTTTGATCTGGAAAAAACATACTTACATAACCCTACTCTTATTTAAAGGACCACTCTAGGCACCCAGACCACTTCAGCTTAATGAAGTGGTCTGGGTGCCAGGTCCCTCTAGGATTAACCCTTTTTTTTTTTCAGAGAAACTGCTATGTTTATAACTGGGTTAATCCAGCCTCTAAAGCCTCTAGTGGCTGTCTCATTGACAGCCGCTAGAGGCGTTTGCTTGCTTCTCACTGTGAAAATCACAGTGAGAGGACGCCAGCGTCCATAGGAAAGCATTATCAATGCTTTCCTATGAGACTGGCTGAATGCGCGCGCAGCTCCTGCCGCGCATGCGCATTCATCCGAAGAAGAGGAGGAGAGGAGGAGTAGAGCTCCCCACCCGGCGCTGGAAAAAAGGTAAGATTTAACCCTTTCCTCGCCATCCAACCCGGCGGGAGTGGGACCCTGAGGGTGGGGGCACTATAGAAAACGAGTATGTTTTCCTGGCACTATAGTGGTCCTTTAATGCCCACACCTAGATTGAAAGATGATTACATGCTTGCATAAGAAAAAGATATGGGACCTTATTATGACCTAGAGCAGGGGTCAGCAACCTATGGCATGTGTGCCATGCATGGCACTTGAGGTGACTTTGCATGGCACTCAAGCCTACCAGAAACAAATAGGATCGGGACTTCAGATATCTGCTAGTGCAAACTGAGCAGTGATTGCAGGCGGTGAGGGATAATCCTCCATTTACATATTACAGCACTTAGAGGAATTATCTCCGATCACTACCTCCCAGCACTTGTGAACAGGAATCTGCACTGGAGTAAAGCAGCCCACAACAGCTATTGCAGTTCCTGCACTTGACCTGTACCTGGTACAGTAACTGCAACACCCATAAAAAAAAAAAAATTATAAAGCACCATTCACACTTCGATTTAAAAACAAATAGGACTGGAACGTCAAGGACATTCAAGATCTTGTTTTGGCATCGTACTACTAAAAGGTTGCCAATCCCTGACTTAGAGGAATGGCTTAAATTTGTACCAGCTCTTAAAGGAGTTACACAGTGCTCCAATCATTGGGAAAACCGTTTAAAAATAATTTATACATGTTATTTATGCCCTTAAAGGTTGAATAAAATGAACTCCAGATATTCAGATACATGTTGGAGAAACTGTGGAATGATTGGCTCACTTTCACATGTTTTTGGGTATTGTCCTAAACTCACACAATTTTAGCAGGAAATACATAAATTAATCCAAAAAGTAAATTTGGATATTCCTGTACTCATTTCAGAATTGGCTTTATTCCAATTCTTCCCTGATACTATTGAAAAAATGGATACAATTATTATTGAACATATCCTTTTAGCTGCTACTACGGTCATCCCCAGATACTGGAGGTCACCAAGTATCCATACTATTAAAGAAGATTTTAGTTATATTCTAGAAAATAGGGGGTACAAACTGGCTCTCAGACAACCTTCTTTGCAGGTAGATAACCTTAGACACTACTGGGACGAATGGAAAACAAAGATTAAAAGAGAATATAGCGTTTGAATGCGTGTATAAAGAAATATATTTGTAAAATAGTTTGACAACAACATTTTTTATTCTATTATGCAATTATCTGAACTATCATTTTTTAATAATAGTTTTTTTATTTTACTTATTAACATTGCAATTTAATTGAATTTAATTGCATAACATACCAATATGTTATTAGAATGAAAATTGAAGATTATGCTAGCGCTAGTGTACTTATAATCTTAATTTTAGTAATGACAGGAGGCGAGTATTTTGCATTAACTCTCTTTACTAACTCCACACAGCAGTAAAGAAAAGTGAAACATTAACCAATGAAAAAACAGTATGAGGTATAGTATTCACAGTGATGAGGCTCCTCCCCCTCTTTCGAAAGCGACATCAAAGACAAATATAGAAAACGGATAAAGTCTTGAAACATAAAGTCTTGAAACATGCACCAACGGGTGACTTTCCACATACGAAGTCCTAGTGGCTGAAGGATGGTCCAAACGTGTCCATCCTGAGCATGAGATGTAATGTCCCAAAGTTATGCTGAAAAAGAACGTGGAGAAGGTTAGGTACCGATCTGGCAACTGTTTGCAGTAATGTAATAAACCCAACACAATTTCCACTGAACTGATGCAAAACTAGATGAAAAAACTAGTACAAATATGACAGTAAACCATAACAATGATCTAGCTAAACAAGGTACAAGCCTGAGTCATACAAGATGAATAGGAAGATAGAAGAAGTAAGGAATACACAGAGTAAGTATACTTACTTGGATCCTTATCCCCCAAAGGTGTGGAGCTTGGGAAAATACTCGCCTCCTGTCATTACTAAAATTAAGATTATAAGTACACTAGCGCTAGCATAATCTTCAATTTTACCACATGACAGGAGGCTTCATATTTTGCATTTTTAACGCTGAACCAGGAGAGACGTGGCTGCCCCGCATTCGGTCGGAAGTAGAAGGTCCGAAAGGTCGATTCTCGTGACCAATCTGCAGCTCGTAGGATGTCTGCCAGGGATGCGCCTGTGGTGAAAGCCGAAGAAGCTGCCGCCCCGCGGACTGAGTGGGCTCCGAAGGTTTCCTCTACGCCTGCCAGGGACAGAATCCATCTTACCCATCTGGCCAGGGTGGTGGTAGAGACGGGAACGTGTGGCCTAACGTAGGACACCAAGAGTTGGCCCGTAGGGGGGACGCGCAAGCGGGTTGTGACCTCTACGTATCGATGTAGGGTAGATACCACGCAGAGAAGCGGTTCTGTAGGAAAAAAGGGGTAGAAGACCGATGTGGAGTCGGATTTCGTACGGCGTGAAACTTGGAAGGTAACTCCCTCCGGGGAGACCGAAAAGGCATCGATGTCGAATGCTCGTACGTCTGAAACTCTGCGGAACGAGACCAAACAAAGTAGGAGTGTCAGTTTGGCTGATAGTTGTCGGAGTGAAAGTCTGTCGTTGTCTGGCCAGTCCCTCAGGAACTGTAGGATGTTTTCGACGTCCCATAGTCGGGAATATTTAGGTCTCGGAGGCCTCTGAAGTCTGATGCCCCTGAGGAGGCGGCATACCAACGGGTCTTTCCCGACGGGGATCCCCTGGGCCGGAACGTGGGCCGCCGAAATTGCGGAGCGCACTACGTTGAGGGATCGGTAAGATCGGCCCTTGGAGAAGAGATGCGAGAGAAAATTCATGATGGCTGTTATAGGTGCCGTAAAGGGATCAAAATTCCGCTCACTGCACCAAGTAGCCCAGGAGCTCCATGCCGATAAGTAACATCGTCTGGTTCCTGGTGCCCATGAGTCCCATAGGAGATCTCGAGATGTTTGCGATAACTCTTCGGTTTGCCAGGCTCCCCTGGAAGCGTCCAAGCCACCAGCGTGAGACGGTCTTCCAGGATGAGCGGGTGTTGATTCCCTCTCGGGTCCGTAAGGAGCGTCGGATAGGACTGTATGAGGAGGGGATCTCTGTAGGATGATGCTAGAAGGTCCGGAAACCATGGTTGACCCTGCCATAGGGGTGAGATGAGGAGCATGGATCTGCGCTGGGTCTTCAGGTATTGCATCGTCCTGGCTACCATGGCGAATGGGGGAAAGGCGTACGCCCCCGAGGGTGGCCAAGGTTGGAGAAACGCATCTACTGCTTTGCTCTCTGGGTCTGGGAGCCAGCTGAAGTACTCGTCTGTCTGCCTGTTGTTGCGTGACGCGAAGAGGTCTAGGTGGAGGGGACCCCTCCTGACCGAAAGGCGCTGGAAGATCGCTGGGTCCAGTCTCCAGTCGCTGCTGTCCCGCCAGTGGCGTGAAAACCAGTCCGCTGTCAGGTTCGTTTCTCCCGGGAGGTATTCTGCCATGAGGGAGATTTTCCGGGGTAGACAAAAGTCGAAAATGTCCTTCGTGATCTCTGAGAGGAGTCTGGATCGGGCTCCTCCCAGGCGATTGATGTAGCGGACCGCTGAGATGTTGTCCATCCGGAGGAGGATGCAGCAGTCTGTCCGGTCTCTCGCTAAGCTGCGGATCGCAAACGACCCCGCTAGGAGTTCTAGGCAGTTTATGTGAAGGTTGGTTTCTTGGGAAGTCCAAGTGCCTCCTGTCGATCTGCCCTCGCTTGTGGCACCCCAGCCCCACAGGCTGGCGTCTGATTCCAGAACTATGTCTGGTGTATTCCCGAAGATGGCTCGGCCGTTCCAAGCTTCCATGCTGTCCAACCACCATCCGAGTTCTTCCTTGATCTCTTCCGTTACCGGAATGTTTTGGTCGTAGGAAGGAGGAAGGAGGCCTTCAGGCTTTGCATCGCCCTGTAGTGTAGTGGGCCCGGGAAGATTGCCTGTATAGATGCGGACAGTAGTCCCACGATTCGAGCCAGGCTGCGGAGTGGAATGGTGTTGCAGCGGATGACTCTGCGTAGTTCCTTTTTGATGGCTGTGATCTTTGAGATCGGGAGCCGTAAGGCGCTGGTCTTGGAGTCTATCTCGAAGCCCAGGAAGTGTATCGTCTGGGCTGGGAGCAGCTCCGATTTTTGGTAGTTCACCACGAAGCCTAGGGACGTCAGGAGTTGAATGGTATATCGTGTGTGTTGTGTTAGACTGTACCTGTCTGAGGAAAAAAGTAGCAGGTCGTCCAGGTAGATAATGCAACGAATTCCTTGAGTTCGTAGTTGTGATACTACCGGCTTGAGGAGCTTGGTGAAGCACCACGGTGCTGAGCTGAGGCCGAAGGGGAGGCATGTGAACTGCCAGGGGCGACCTTGCCATCGGAATCTGAGGAATTGTCGGCAAGACGTATGGACGGGTACCGATAGGTAGGCGTCCTTGAGGTCCAGTCTTGTGAACCAGTCCCTGTCTTGGAGCAGATCTCTTAGAAGATGGATGCCTTCCATCTTGAAATGTCTGTACCTCACGAAAAAGTTGAGCCTCCTTAGGTTTATAACCGGCCGGAAGTCTCCGGATTTCTTCTTTACTAGAAAAATGTTGCTGAAGAAGCCGTTTTTGTCGTGAGCGGGTTCTATTGCTCCTTTCGCCCTGAGTTCCCATAGTTCGCCATCGATTAGGTGGCGATCCTCGTTGGAGCACTGAATGGGGTGCGGAGGAGTGGTCTGGGGTTTCCACGAAATCTATGATGTAGCCCCGAACCGTCTGAAGGATCCATGCGTCCGTGGAGATGGCTGTCCAGTTCTGAAAAGACAGAGCGATACGACCTGCAGTACACGGGGTAAGAGGACATTGAGACATTATGTTGCTTAGCTGTGGGAAAGCGTGCTCTGCCACGGCCACGAGGTCCTCTGCCTCTGTCGGCTCCACGGGTGTAGGAGAAAGGCTGCCTGACGCCCACTCCCGGGTAGAAGGGTTGGGGTCTGTGTGAGCGGGGGCCGGAGGGCCAAAACCGGCTGGCTGCTCGGCCCCTGTAGCGGCCAGCCCGTCCAAAAACACCCCTACTGGGGTAGCCCCTGAAGACTCGCTTCATGGAAGTTTGAGCCTTATTTAGTGAGGTGAAAATGTTTACATGCTTGTTAAGTTCTTTGAGGAATGCTTCCCTAAACAATTTGCCCTGTGCAAGCGGTCCCAACTCCTTGGTGCCCAATTCCACCAGTTTTCCGTCAATACGGAGTAGTGCTGCCTTACGCCTCTCAGAGGAGAGGGCTACATTGGTGTTGCCCACAAAACAGAAGCACCTCTGTGCCCATTCTCTTATATCATGTGCCCACTCTTTTACCATGCTGGTATCAAATTCGTCAGCCCTTGTGAAAGCATCGTCCGCCAAAAACATGATGCGGGACAGTGGGCCAATGACTCCATTGGCCCACTGTCCCGCATCAGTTTGTCCTGAACTCCGTGGAATCCTTTTTCCACTCCTCTCCTGGGGTCACGACCACCCCGCGACATGAATGTGTTCATGACCTGGTCGAATTCGGGAGTCTGAGCCACGAGGTCGGGGAGCGAAGGGCGAGGGCATTCAGAACGTAGGCGGTTGCGCACCGTTTTGTCCAGGGGTTTGCGGAGCCAACGATGCATAAATTTGGAGAGATGGTCGGGAGGGGTCCAGTCCCCCGAACGCGGGTGTCGTATATTTCGGGGGTCGAATAGACGTTGACCCGTGGGGTCCAGAATGGCTTCCCCTTCTTCTTGGACCGGTGTGGCGTCCGGCAGTTGGATGTCGTCCAAGAAGGTGCCTTGCAGGAAACCAGTATGGGATCCCGTGTCCGAACCCCAGTCATTTTCTTGTGAATCGGAATCTGCGGCCTGCCACTCGTCCAACACGGCCATGGAGTGTGTGTGTTCGTCCCCCTCGTCCGAGGAGTAGTGGGCTGGAGTGGGTGGGGTCGGCCTGTGGCGTTTGCAAGGTGTCTTGCCTTTGCCCGGGTTGTCATTCCCTTTTTCGCCCTTCCAGTGGCGTTTGCTGGGCCGTGAGTCGGCCTGAGCATGAGATTCTGAAGCCTCAGAATAGTAGTCATGGGCTTGGGCTTTTGTGACTTTTTTAGTCTGATCGGCTGTTGCCGTCATAACCCTGGATAACGCTTTCTCCATAGAGGCGGAGATGGCTTCCGCAATCATGGTTTGGAAGTCCGCAGGGTTTTGGGGTGTATCCATAATGATAGGAGTAGGGCCGCTGGAATAGATAAATCTGGGCTAGGGGTCAGTATGAAAAAAGGTACCTGCAGTACCCAGGTAACCCCAGCAGGGTAAATTATATATATATATGTAGATATATAATAAAAGGGAAAAAAGGGCACCCCAGCAGGGTGAATATGATAAAGCTGGTAACAAAAGCACCAGTTTCCCCAGCAGGGAATATTGGGTTTTATTCTGGGCCTCACCCAGTTATATATGCATTCATATATATAGGTGGCACGAAATCCACCTGGCAGCAGCAGTAATCAAATATAAGGGCCTCACCCTGGCACACAAAACGCTGGTGGAGCCAGTAATATCAATAAGTATGGGGCCTCACCCCAAAGCACAGGATTAATAATCTTCTAAATGGATGACTGACCTGGGGACCCCTGATTGCGTCCGGTGGTGAGGTGAACGGGCGCCGGAATGAGCGGTCGCGACGCTCCCAAGATGGCGGCCGTGGATCTCGCGAGACGCGAGATCCAAGATGGCTGCCGGAGCGAACGGGAAACAGTTTCCCGCCGCGCGACCAGAGTGAGTGCGGCTGTGAAGCCGCGAGGAAGGAGTAGGGTGGAGGAGGGTGAGCGTTACCCTCAGAGAAAGAGGTGGGCGTTTGCGGTCGGTCCGACGGCGGAGAAAGCTGGCGGACCGAGTGGGAAAAGGGAGGGGGGGGGGAGAGACAGGAGAAGATCCTGAAGGGGGGAGAGGAAAAATCCCCAGAAGAGTAAAGTTCAAGGGGGCAGAGATAAAGGGATAAAAAAGGAGAGGAAAGTGCTTCCATAAAAAGTCTGCCCTAATAATACAACAGAAAGTACAAACCACTAGCACAGTACATATAAAAGAACAATAAAAGAAAAAGCCCACCTGAAGCAGTACTACACAGTAACTACATGTAAGGATATATCATAGAGAACATAAAATAAACATATAGAAATAAATACAGTAAGTAAAAGGGAAGAGCCAAAAACTCTGACCTGTCTGCTGATGGAGCAGTAAAGAAAGAGGGGGAGGAGCCTCATCACTGTGAATACTATACCTCATACTGTTTTTTCATTGGTTAATGTTTCACTTTTCTTTACTGCTGTGTGGAGTTAGTAAAGAGAGTTAATGCAAAATATGAAGCCTCCTGTCATGTGGTAAAATTGACTATAAAGTGCGTGTTTAATACTTTCATCATCGATTTGTGTACCCATGTATAGACTGGATACATTGATATTTACTCTTTTATGTATAACATATATGGTATGTATAACATTTTTGGTATTTTCTTCTTCATTATAAATGTTATTGTAAAAATATCTCTTTAATAAAATATATTTGAAAGAATATAAGAAAGAGAAATGGACATGTACATAAAGGAAAAATATAAATACAACATGTAATAAAAGATGCTGTTATAAAAAATGATATGAATCAAAATCTGAATTTAGACCAGTGGGAATTAGTGTTGTTAAATAGAAAACCCATTTAATTTCACACTGTCCGAAAACGTTTGTTATATTGCCACCTTGCCATGGTAAAGTGCAGACATCTATAGCGTAAAATTTCAGGAATGTTTGATTTTTATGTACCAAAAAGTGTTTTGACACTGTATGGTTAATGTGACGAAGTGCCCTTCGCCACTTGTGCCTGGAGAGGACTAATTGCCAGCCTCCTGCCCTGCGACTATGGCCCCTGGAAATTATATTGGAGCAGCCTGCAGCTTTAAATTGTGAAGAAAACCCCTGTTTTATTCCCCCTCCACCCCCCTCCTAGAACACCAGTTAAACCCTTAATACCTTGTTACAATCAAACTCTGTCTGACCTTATAATTGTCATATATTCAAACACTGACTGAACTTAACTGTCATTTTGTTTTTCTCAGAGGAGGAGTTGTTTTGCTGCATGAGTGCTGTTGCTTTTGTGTGCTCATTAAACAGACCTGCTTGACCCTTTCTTGAAGCCTTTGCTCATGCTTGGGGGACGGAATAAGTCTGCAGTGCTGATGGTGTCGGTTGGAGTGCTTGGAGTCCTCGGCAAGCACTAGGAGCATCGATTGGCGGAGGTACTCGGTCGGAGTGCCAGCGGGTCCTTCACATTTGGTGGCAGCGGTGGAATGGCGTCCTAGTGCGAGGAGAAGCAGCTCAGAGACAGTGGTAACGTTACGGAGCTATAATTGAGGGCACTCGTGCAGCACCCCTGTCTACAGAGAATCCAAAAATGCATGGATCGGAGTGCTAGTGGCCCAGAGTGGGGGCCGAGCGAACATGATGTATTGCTATGAGGGTGACGCATACATTGCGGAGGTAAAGAGGCGGCTAGCCGGGTATGGAAGAGGTGATCGTCCAAATCATGTATGAGTTGGATGAAGAGAACCAAGCAGCACGGGAATGTGAGTTCAGATTGTGGAGATTGGGGCTGCAGACAACTGGTCTCTCCCCCCAGCGGCGGCCTGAGTTCCAGGAGGAAGTGATGGTCGATCCTTCCACCTTACAGCAACCAGTGTCCTGGGAAGTGGAGGCAACCGGCCTCTCCTTCCAACAGCAGCCAGAGGTAGCCGATCTCATAGACTGGTTCTGGGAGGACCGCCAACAGGCAGGTGGAGATGGGACCGAGGTCTCTCAACCGGCCCTACAGGGATGCTGAGCAGCCGGCCCAGATCCCCAGTTGCAGCCAGAGCTACAGAGAGAGGAGGCAGGTGGCCCTTATTCCCAAATCCTGGGGGATCTCATAGACTGGTCCTGGAAGGAACCCCAACTGGCAGGTGGAGATGGGACCGAGGTCTCTCCACCGGCCCTTCAGGGATGCTGGGCAGTTGGCCCAGATCCCCAGCTGCAGCTGGAAGTACCGGGAGTAAAGACAGGCGGTCCTACTCCCCAGCGGCAGTACATCTCACAGGGAGTGGAGACAATCGGTCTCCTTCCCCAGCAGCAGTGTGCTGTCCAGGGAGTAGAAGGTGTCGTCCTTCCTCCTCAGCAGCTGTATGTCTCAACGGGAGAGGAGATAGTCGGCCTCCCTCCCCAGCGACTGAATGTGTTAGTGGGAGAAGAGACAACCAGTCTCCCTCCCCAACAACATACAGAGGTATCCGAGGTAGCGGACCTCATAGACTGGCACTGGGAGGAACCTCAAATGGCAGGTGGAGATGGGACAGAGGTCTCTCTACCAGCCCTACAGGGATGCTGGGCAGCCGGCCCAGATCCCCAGTTGCAGCCAGAGCTACAGAGAGAGGAGGCAGGTGGTCCTTATTCCAAAGTCCTGGGGGATCTCACAGACTGGCACTGGGAGGAACCTTAAGTGGCAGGTGGAGATGGAACCGAGGTCTCTCTACTAGCCCTACAGGGATGCAGGACAACCGGCCCAGATCCTCAGCAGCAGTGCATCTCACAGGGAGAGGAGGCAACCGGCCTTAACCAGCGTTCTGGGGAGTGGAGGCAACCGGCCTTAAACCCCAACAGCAGCCGGAGATACCGAGAGAGGGGACACCTGATTCCGTAGCTGAACTACAGGGGTGAAAGCAACCCTAACCCCACTGGTGCAGATGGGACCACGGTCTCTGTGCCAGTCCTACAGGGATGCTGGACGGCCGGTCCAGATACCCAACCATCCCCGCAGGGATACCGAGAGGAGGTAAGCGAGTCCTCCTCAACCCAGCTAATTCTTAACCGAGTCCTGGGGGCAGTGGATGAGTCTGCGATACCCACTGACCCCCTTCCAGCAGAAGAGCTGGCATCTGGGCAGAGTGAGGACGGCCTCTGTCCTCCCTTGCCCTCTTGTTCAGAACCTGAATACACACCGGCCAACCCAGCAGAAGCACTGGCATCTGGGCAGAGCACCGTTGGTCTCTGTCCACTAGTTCCCCTCAGCAACCTGGGACATACAGGCCAGAGCCAGACACCAGGAATCACCAGGTGCATCTGAATTGGTCTTTCAGCCAAATTTACTAATACTAAGTAAAGATTACTTAGTATTAGTAAATTATGCCCCTACTCGCTATACCGCGAGTAGGGGCATGTCTTAAACAGTGGGCATTAAAAAAACAAAACAAAAAAAACACGTCCCCGCTCCCAAACCCCACGAGTGGGGGCTTCGAACTTGAAGGGGGGACCTATTGCCGCCCCTGGCCCCCACCCCTGAATGGGGGGTAGGGGCCCTAAAGTAAAATAAGGGGGGGCTTGGTGGATTAAGTAGCCAGTGTAACGGACCGTTTTGCACACAAGGGGTTAAAACCGTTTAAGCGATCGTCCCTGTTACGGCATCCCCAGGCATAAAAGGGTTAAACCGCAGTTTAGTAGATCTTCCCTTCTAGAGACACAGGCACAGCTACTGCAGAACACCAATCCGCCGAACAGGAAACCATATGAATGCTGTAAACAGCCGAATAGGAAAACCCATCCGAATAGGTTTACATTCCTAGCAGTCAAACTGGAACAGCATACAGTAAATCCCCCCAAGAACGAGACAAAGCTCCGTGTTGAGGGTCAAGCAGTGAACAGCCAGAGCTGTGGGTTTATTGTTCTTATATACACATTAGTACCACCCACAGTGTTTTGGAACACAACCAATAACCACATCCAATACACTCAGACACTCCCACACAAAATCCTCCCCTCTGCCTGTGATTCAATTACCTTACACAATGGGTAATTTAATTAGCACAAGCCGAGAAATACAATTTTTCCACATTATTCATAACTTGAAAAGTATGCATCACATTCACATTTTCAGAATCAGCATACTCCAAATACAAACAAACGTCAAAATCATACAAATTGGTCCAGTGGTTCAAAAGATAGATCGTAGTCCTTTGTGACCACAGGAAACATGGCTTTTCTGCCCAAAACCAGTTCCACAGAGTCTTCTATCCTGGATATAATTAGAAGTAATCCAATTATCTCCAAAGACAGAGGCAAAACTCAATTGAACACATGTCAGTAAAAAGACAGTAAAATACAATAAAATACACAAGGTTACATTTATGACATAAAATACAGACATGCAACATATGCCCAGATAGCTTAGGTCTGAGCGCACATTAATACTGAATGGCACTCAGACCACAAACACATACAGTTCAATTGCCATAGAGCCAAAGACTTTTATTACATGAATAGGCTCCATGGCATGCCTATCTGAGTTATATGAGTTCATTCAGTAAATCCGAGAATCTACCGCACACCGGGCAGAAAAGCACGAATAAGTCTTTTCTGCAGTGAAAAAAATGTCTTTTAATATGGGGCCATAGTCCAAAGGCAGCAGGCGAGCAACCAGGCTTATCCAATGCAAGGTGGCGAGATTGCTCTCGTCACAGCCAGAGTGTTATAAGTCTAATTACACAAAAGAATTTCCAAAGAACTTTCCCGCGCTGTGTAAAATGACTCAGAGCACTCTGATTGGTTGATTTCAAGCTAACCAATCAGAGTGCTGTGACAGGTAAATGTAGAGCAGGGGTTCTTAACCCAGTCCTCAGGACCCCCCTACCAGTCCAGGGTTCAGGGATTACCTGGGTGTGTCTAAGGTGTTTAGAAAAAAAAACACCTTAGTGTCTAAGGTGTTTTTTTCCCTTTTTCTAAATACCTGAGACACACCCAGGTAATCCCCAAATCCTGGACTGGTAGGGGGTCCTGAGGACTGGGTTGAGAACCCCTGATGTAGAGACTTACCTGTCAGTCTCTTCATTTACCTGTCAGAGCACTCTGATTGGATGGCTTAAACCCACCAATCAGAGTGCTCTGTGTCATTTTACACAGCGTGGGAAAGTTCTTGGCATTTTCCCACGCTGTGTAATTAGACTTATAACAGAGCTCAGTCTGCGAGGAGCCCTCCATGGGTGAAGATGGATTAAAAAAAATTGCGCTCGTTTTTTTTTCTTCAAGTGCGTCGGTTATTATGGGGTTTTTTTGGCCTTTTTTGGGGCTGAAAAACGAAGATTTTAGAAGAAAGAAAACAAGAAATGGTAAGTTTTATTTTTTATTTTTTTTACAGGTACTTAGTTAAATGGTCCCCTTTCATTATTTTTAGGGTGAGGGACAAAGAAATAGCATTTTGGAATTTTAGTCACCTGGGGAGGGGGGGTTAATTTTTTCATTTAGGGCCCCCACCTGCCGCTCAGGGGTGGGGGCATTAGGTACCCCCTCTAATTAGTATTTAGGGCCCCCATCCTACGCTCAGGGGTGGGGGCCAGGGGGGAGGACATTAGTTCCCCCCCTCATTCTAATTTAGGGCCCCCACCCACCACTCAGGGGTGGGGCCAAGGGGGAGGACATTAGGTCCCCCCCTAATTAGTATTCAGGGCCCCCACCCACCGCTCAGGGGTGGGGGCCAGGGGGAAGGACATTAGGTCCCCCTTCATACTAATTTAGGGCCCCCACCCACCGCTCAGTGGTAGGGGCCAGGACATGAGGTTCCCCCCCTCATTCTAATTTAGGGCCCCCACCCACAACTCAGGGGTGGGGGCCCGGGAGGAGGACATTAGGTCCCCCCCATTTAGTATTTAGGGCCACCACCCACCACTCAGGGATGGGGGCCAGGACATTAGGTCCCCCCTTATTCTAATTTAGGGCCCCCACCCACCGCTCAGGGGCCGGGAGGGAAGACATTAGGTCCACCCCCCTCTTTCTAATTTAGGGCCCCCACCCACCGCTCAGGGGTGGGGGCCCGGGAGGAGGACATTAGGTCCCCCCCATTTAGTATTTAGGGCCACCACCCACCACTCAGGGATGGGGGCCAGGACATTAGGTCCCCCCTTATTCTAATTTAGGGCCCCCACCCACCGCTCAGGGGCCGGGAGGGAAGACATTAGGTCCACCCCCCTCTTTCTAATTTAGGGCCCCCACCCACCGCTCAGGGGTGGGGGCCCGGGAGGAGGACATTAGGTCCCCCATTATTTTCCTTTAGGGCCCCATCCGCTCAGGGGCGGGGGGGGGGGGTTATAGGCCCGAGTGGGGGCTCGGAAGGGGGGACATTTTTTTTTTTTTTCAACAGTGAGCAGCCAGAGGCTACTCACTGTCTACTAGACATGCCCCTACTCGCGGTATAGTGAGTAGGGGCACACTTTACTAATACTAATTAATCTTTACTTAGTATTAGTAAATTTGTCTGAAAGAACAATTTAGGTCTTTCAGCCTTTTGGTAGATAACTCCCTAATACTGTTATCTACCGAAATGCCGAATTTCCGAATACCGAACCGAAAATTTTCCCCATGCATATGCCCAGTAAAATTCAAACCAATTCGACCAGATTTTATAATATTTATCAAGATTTAAGTCACAGGTGGGGGCACGGGAGGGGGAGACGTTTTTTGGGTTGTTTTTTTTTTTTTTTTACAGTGCTGCTCACTGTTTACTAAACATGCCCCTACTCGCAGTATAGCGAGTTATGTTTATGAAATTAGCAACATTGGTGGTGTTATCTGCACAGCAATATTAAAACAACACTAAACAGTTGGGGCATATAACCTAAACACTGAGTGCAAATCAACCAAACAATGAAAGCATGTGTGCATGCCACCTAAACAGTGGGGCCATGTCACCTAAACAGTGTGGGCCTGTCAACTAAACAGTATGTGCAAGTGTACCAATATAGACATGCCCACACTTTTTAGTTGGAGCACCACAAGAGGATAATTGCTTTCGCCTTCCTCTCTGGGGTTAAATTCCTCCCTCCCCTAGCCAGCTCATAGTGTGCTCATACAGTAAGATGCACACAAGTGGTGTAGCTCTTTAATCAGAGACCTTCTATCATATGCACAACTGGAGCAGAGGGAAGGCTGGCAAAATCAGAGACAGGCGGTAGGAAATAACTTCCTTCCAGTGAGTCGCAAAATGGTGTTAAAACAATTATTAATTTTTTCATATGCACACAATCACACTCAGCCAACTCTGCCCTGAACCACATTTAAAAACGTCTACACACAATCACACTCGGCCAACTCCACACATACATTTAACATTCAACTAACCACAATCACACACAGTCTCCACAAACATCCCACTCAGGCATATGGATTAGGTGGGAGCTATTTGGAGGACTTCTCCTTTGATTTTTCCACCAATGCCTAGTGGTCACTTAGGTGCCTGGGATCACTCCATTTCCCCCAAACGTTACAGATCCATTTTAAAGGGACCATTTAAATGAAGTTGTTATGGTGCCAGAATGCCCCAGGAGGCACTCTTACATAGAGGGGATAAACCGTTCCCTAACTGTTTAACGCCAAAGTTGCCTCTCAGACGGCATCCGGCTTCTGAATTTTCAGATTGGTGCCTGGAGTGTACCTTTAACTATAGTTCAAGTACAGTGCACCAGGAAATCTTAGTGGCGTTCCCAGATTAATACAAAAAATTGCAGTACTTTTGTAAATTTGCAAATAAAAGTGTGGAGCATTATAAATCATTGCTTACAGGATCTGGAGTGTCCCATTATAAACCATTGCTTACAGGGAACCTTTTTGCCCTTTCTTTTTATAGAGCGACTCACACCACTCATACAGAACTACACACGCTTGACAATTCGTGCTCTGGTTTATTTTTAAATAACTTTATACGTTGAAGTAAGAAAAGGATTACATCACCTTCGGTAACACCCTTTCACCTTCTTGCGCCTACACCTACATTATCAGTTTAACAATACATCGCCGTTCTCTTTCCTACGAAGCAGTACACTTTGCAAGTGCTTATGGGAAGTGTAGTTCTTTATACAAGTACGGCGTCAAAGCAAAACGTTGCAGATCAAGCATGCGCAGCAATCATATGACAAGGAAATAGTAACGTTGGAAGTGCTGACCGGTAGTGTTCGTCATGGCTGATTCAGTAACTTTGTGCTTGTTTGATGTGGATGGAACATTAACAACTCCTAGACAGGTACGAAGGCGATATTTTCAAAACAACCTTTAAATGACAATTAGAACCTTTATAACAATTTCGCTATAATATATTCGTTATAGTAAAAGCTTATGCAGTGATTCTCGAAAACTAACTGCAATTTGAAAGCTAAATGTGTATATATATATGTTCGTGTTATTTCGTTTGGAGTCTAATAGAAATGACATTAAACAAACACCATTAGCTTGAACGTTAACTGGTGTGCACTCCCATTTTTCTGAATTGTTTACCTTATATGAAATTGAGAATACCATGCATCTTTGCACAATAACATGCCAAATCATAATTTGGTGGTAGGTAGAAACTCCTGCCTCTTATTCATTGGCTGAAAGCCTCAGCTGATTGCTCACAGCCAATGAATGACTAGAACAAAAATATATGCACAGATTTGGCATTAGTCAGCCTGGAACTCTTGTTTTTGCCTGGCTAATTATTACTCAGTGAAGCTGCTACAGGTGTTAGAGCTGTCAAATCAAATTCTTCCAATGATACATAATATAATCACAAAACAACTTCTTCCTACAATATGTTTATTTTGGATTTCACAATTACAATTTAACTCTTTAACCCCTTAAGGACACAGCTTCAGAAGCTTGACTTACGCTTAATGGCACAAGCAATTTTTGCATTTTCTTGCTGTTTGCGTTCAACTGCAATTTGCA